AAATCCATGGATTTCCTCTCCTGCCCTCCCTTTAACAGCAGTGAGAGGGAGCAGAGAATTGGAACCAGGCCCAGCCCGTGGCACGTTTGCCTGGGATGAGATAGCACAAGGATGAAGGAATGAAGGGCACCTTTGGGTGGTGGGATCCGTGCCACCACGACCCCTCTGTACCCTCTCCTCTCATTCACCCTGGCTAGTGGGTGCAGCAGCAGAGAGCTGGGCAGTGCAAGGAATGAATGCATGGGGAGGACCCAGTGATGCCAGCATGGGTTTAGTCTCCTTGGTCTGACTGAGGCACTGCCCTCTGCCATCACTGCCACCGGTGGCCAGGAAAGAGGGTGCAGATGGACATGAGTGGCCACTGCTCCGTAACTCCAGACTAAGGGCAAGAGTGCCAGGGGAAGAGGTAACCAAGGACTCCTACCTGTAAGGATGGAGACGCTGTGGAAGCAGCTGTCCAGCTTGCCCAGGAGGATGGAGAGGAAGCTGTCGGCAGCCAAGCCGGTCACGTCCCGTGTGCTCTGATCGTAGACCACCACGTCCTGGTGCTCCTCTGCCTCCACCTGCACAGGAATGGTGAAAACCAAGTGTCAGAGAAATAGGCTGAGTGCTGAGGACGCTGCTGCCCACACCACCATGGGAAGCAAAGCTGAATTTAGTGGCTACTTCAGTGGGAGACCCCAGCTCCTTGAATGCTTCCTGTCCCCACGAGTGAGCTTCACTCACTAAACGAAGAGTCCAGCCAGGCTGGGACTTGGCTTCACAGTTAAAAGTGAGAGTGTCTAGTACAGATGCCCATTAGAGCAGCCCCACCAACTGCAAGTGCTTTTGGGCATCCTACCCAAAATAGGGTAGCTCCTCCTTATTGCCCACCCTTGGCTTGCCATTATTTAATTACATCCCAGAGGTCGATGTGACTTCTTCCACATGCTCCTCCCCACCCAACCTTTGCCCTCAGGTACTGCAGCCTGACTGGCATCACAGGGACTTGGGGGTGGTTTGGCAGGAGAGGCTTTTCCACCACAGCCCTTGTGCAGTGGCCAAAGCAAGCAGGGCTGGAGCCATAGATGTCCAGGGCTCAGCCTGGAAACATCGTGCCTAGTACTGCAATACCTCTGTAGGCACTACCCCTCCAGAAGCTCAATCTAAACCTGCAGGTCAATCCTGAGGACTGAAGGAGAGGGAAAATCTCTCTACTTCGGAGGGTGTTCAGTAGGATGCTCCTTCTTCCATTTGTAATGCATAGTGAGGCTTGAACACTGCAGAGATGTGCTGGAGCAGAGGGAAAGCAGCTCCCCATGTGACTTAACATACCATGAACAGAATCCAGCCTTTTTGCCACTGCGGGGTCTCCAGGGCAGGTGAGATGCCTGTGGAGTACCCCACAGGCAGGCAGCTGTCTGCAGGCAGGTGTCCCTCCACTCCTGGACTGCAGTGAGTGTACTCAAGGCACGGTCAGTCATTCCTACATCTACCTGAAGGTCTGTGCATGCTCAGAGTGTTCTCTGAATAGCCTGACGGATGACATTACACCTGCCTTGCAAGCTCCTGCCCTCCCAACCAGTGAGGTAAGGCCCATCCATCACACCGCAAGAGGGGGAGGAGGCAGCAGTGGGCAGGTAGCAGCATCTGTGCCCCTGAGCCACTGTCTCCTCCTTCTTGTGTTGGAGTTGTCTATCACCCACCCCTTGCCTGTCCCTCTCCAAAATCTCTTTAGGAGACCACTTGAACTAGAGACCACTCATGGACACCCACCTCCTTTTGATGTCTCACCGTTATGCTCTATCTCATCACCAGCACAGATTTGCTCAGGATACTGTCAACATTAATGCTGCTTTCACACCCTGCTGCAGGTGTTTCTCTGCTCAGCGACGTGAGCGCCATCCAAATAAAACTGCAGGGCACACCAATTTAGCTGAGCTCATCACGTTTCCTCGCTGCAGCAGAGGGACAGCCCCACACTGACAGAAATCCCCACCGGGACACCACGTGCTGCTCTGCAAGAGGAAGGGGGAGGCTCAAAGGAGCTGCCTGTCCCCAGCCTAGCACCGGGCACTGGAGAGCAAAACTGGCCCAGGAGGTCACAGGGATGATGGGACGGATGAAAAATTAGTGGCAGAATGAGAAGAGAAAAGGATGTGGAAAATTTAAAATAAGACACTGCAGAATGAGTGAAGCCACCTGAGGTTAAGCTGGCTGAAGATTTAGCCCAGCATTTCTTCCTCGGCCATCCTTGAAGCAGGATTTACATAGGAGGCCATTCCAAGTGCAGCTGGAAGGAAATACAATGGCTGCCAAACCAGCTCAGGGCTGGGAGCCTGCCAGCCCTTTAAGCCCCTTGAGCACATCCCAAAAACCCAGTCCCCAGCTCAAAGCCCCATGCCAGTGAAAGCATCACCACTAAAAGTACAGTGAGGTTGGGATCAACTTGCAGTGGAGCAGAGGCTTGTCCTGGCTGTGCAGTTCCAGACAGGGTGGCTACAAGGGAGGTACCTGCTCTGCCAGAGCAGAATTATCCCACTATAGGATTTAGTGGTCCCTTTGCCTGAGGAGGCTTGGTTTGGGCCATTGCTGCAGGGCTGTTGAGTGACAGAAGAGATGTGCAACACAGTTTACATCTTATTAAAGTGATAAGGTTTCACTTAATGCAAATGCCAAACAGGCACTGGCCTTGCATGGCCTGGCTGCAGAAAATAAATACCTCCCTTGCTGGGGCAAGGATGCCTGCAGAGGTTCAGAGGAGTCCTTGTGGAGCGCACAAGGAGCTCATACTGGCTTCCCAGCTCCTTGCCACAGATGGAAATGAGAGGGTGATGTTTAATCAGGCCTGTGGCTCTCCCATTGACCTTACGTGCTCCTGATATGCAGGGGAAGGCTCAGCTCTCTCTCGAGCCTTAAACCTACAGAGGTTAAAAGCTAACTGGGCACAGGAGGAGGGTAAAGCTGAAGAGAGGCACAGGCCACATTCCTGCCTCTGCCAGGGCCTAGCATAGTGCTGGGACATGGCTGGTAACAGCAGGCTTTCAAGGAGTGGCATCTCCATGGTCAGACCTCTCCCATGGGAGTTGCCCATCACCCCAAGACTGCTGAAGTAAGCAAACACTCCCCACATCACCCTCCAGAAAGGGTCTCCAAACCCAGCCAGCAAGAACAGTGGGACCAAGACACAGCAAATCTTCTGGCTCCAAAAAGATGTTGAAGAGGGCTTGCAAACCCATGCATGCCTTTTTTTAAAAATCTGCTGACTCACCCCAGCACTGGAGGTGCCCCAGGGCACTTTCCCTAGGACAACCCTGCTCCCTGTCAGCATTTTGGCTGGGGAGGATGGCCAGCCTGGAGCAGGGACCACACAGCCACTCACTCCAGCCAAACCACAGCTGAGACCATCCGTCACCGTCACACCAAGTTCAGTGCTCCTGATTACCCTGCCCAACTCTGGCTGGAGAGAGCTCCCCCACGGACATCTGGTTCTGAGCACTGGGTGATTCAACGCTGGGTCCCTGCTTCGCCTCTTCCTGGCTGCCAAGAAGGGATGCTGCTGCTCTACAGGTGATTGGGCTAAGACAAGAGAATGCTATTCTTATCCCAATTACTACCAACTACCAGTCACATACTGTTTCAAAACACAGTGAATCACCCTGCTGAAATAACAGGGCTTCCATCAACATAAAGAGCAGCCAGGCACATGGCTCAAAACCTAAGCCCCAGCCTTCCCTCAAGCAAAAGAGCTGCCTGCAGTGCCATGGTCCTAACGCAAATAAATAAATAAATATTCCCATTGCCCAAAGAGACTCTTGTCATGCTTCAAACCACAACTGTAGCCACTGCAAAGATAGCTACATTTCAGGAAGCGAAAAGAGGTCAAGAGGTGGAAAAACTTCCCAGGGGGATCTTGAAGAAGTGAAATTTCCAACATTTCCCTCAAGAAATGCTAGTAAAACCCCCAATCAGGAATTTCCCATAACCTCTGCTCCCAAAACTGCACCAAGGAGCTCAATGATTCCAGTTGTTATTGGAATTTATTATTGGGAAAATGTATTATTAATAATATGAGGAGAGTTCAAAACCAACACCAGAGCAGTACATTGGTACCATTTTTGTGTGGTTTCCCAGCTGGACACCACGGGAAGACGTGCACGCCGAGCAGGATGCAGTGCACAATGGGGCCTGGGGACAGCATACCCACAATCACAAACATGTATCATTGAAAAAACAAACCAACTTTTCTTTTCCTCACCAAATGGTCCTTTCCTTGCACCAAAAAAGCCAGCAGCTACTGTTATCCCACAGCACTGCTCCAAACTGCAGCATCCAGAAGCACTGTTAACGGTGCCCTTCCTCAATAGCAGTATGGGTCAGAGAGGTGCAAGCACTGGGAAAAGCAAATTAGACAAGTGCTCTCAACCCCCCTGCCTGTGCACATGCAGGAGGAGCAGAAGGGAGAGGCAGGCAGGATTGCCCAAAAGCTCTGCTCGGCATCAGCCCTTGCGTGCTGCCCCAGAAGGCAACTGCCACCCAGGGCATCCCCGAGCTGGGATGAGCAGGTTGAGCTCTCCTTGCGCTGGGCAGATGAGGAGGAGCAGGATGAGATGGGAGCTCAGGGCTGCCCTGTCCCTGGCTGGGCAGTCCTGCGTTGCTGCTGGCTGCCTTTGTCTCGGCAGCCCCGTCAGGAGCCGGAAACGGGAGAAGGGTGGGAGGCCCGTCAGGAGGAATAATGGGGCTGGACAATTGCGCCACTGATGTCACCCTTCCTGCCATCTGCTCCCAACACCAGCCGTGACCCCCGTTCCCCCCCCTGCTTTGCCCCACTGCCTCCCCCAGCCCTGGTGCGGGGAGCCAGGGGCAGAACAGGACTGGGGGGTGGGTAGCGCGTTGGGCAGCAATGGCAGGTGGAGGCAGGGAGATGATACAGGGGGTAACAGAGGTCTAAACCAGCTTTCAGCATCTCCCTCTGAGGGTCTGTGCACTTGGAGACAGTAGACCATACTGGTTTCTGAGGGGTCCAAAAACACATCCACGACCTAAGTAGCTGAAATTGGAGGCACGGGGGAAAGAGAAAAGGGGTGAGGAGAGTTCATCACCCCAAAATGCAAACTCACAGGTGCGTGCATGAAAAGGCTTGGACACCCTGACCCATGGCCACCA